TAAATTCTCCTTGGAGACCATCCAGGCCTGGTCTTTGCCGAAACTGGGAGCTTGATAATCATCTCGAGTTGGTGAAGGGGGATCTAGTTCCTTCCCCTGCACTCAGAGGATGAGGAAGGAGCAGCGGCCAAACACCTTTCTGGAAAATGCTACCCATGTAGAAGATTTAGGGGCAGGCTCAAGAGGAAATAGAAGATTTTGAATTCATTCCTGAAAACTAAGATTTTTGAATTCATTTAAAGACCTACCTGCAGGGAATACAGTCTGTTCCAGTCATGAATGCCTTGTCCAGAACTTTCCCTTTCCTCATTCTTCTCCAGTGCAGCTTGGCTTCCTCATCCAACTTTACTTTCAAGTCCAAATTTCTGATTCTTTCTATTGTCTGCCACCTCTTACCCACTTAAATAACCAAGTCTCCTCCCTTCTTTGGGTTCCCTTGAAAATTTATGAGTAAAGTTTGAAAAAAAATTAGACCAAGATTGGCTCCATCTCTACCCACTTCAGTTGTAAGAATCAGAAATTTCCTTACAGTTAAAATCCCCTCAGAATAACAAAAGCAGGGAAGTGGCCTGCTGTCTTCTTGTTCTATAGAAACCACTGAGGATGGACGACCACTCTACTGCCCAAATTTCTCCTTATTTGTGCCGAAGGAAACGAGGCTTTTAAAAACATACTAATTTGGGATCGCTGGAGAGTTTTTCTTTTTTCTCCTAGGAAGTTTTATGACTCATTCAGGATAGCTTTGAGGTTCATCAGGCCCTTAAAAGAGAAGACTGAAAGGATTAAACAAAACAGTACAGGCTTCACAAACCTGAGGCCAATCTATGACATTTGGGAGGCTGTTCCTCAGTTATTTAAGCTTCACTGTTTACATCTGACAGTAAGAACTAGCACGTGATTATGATGAGCCCTGCCCCATGGGAAGTAGTCGTGGCAAATACTTCATGGGTTGTTTCACGACACAGTGATTCTTCCCTGATGACTACTCTGCCCTGCTCCATAGGGTAGAGTTGTGGCAGCCATATTTGTACGATGGAGGCCAGGAGTGAACACTTGGTCCAAGGTGGGCCAAACAGGGGTTCCTTCCTATGACTTTGGGAATGAAATCAAGAGAGAGATTCAGTGTTTCTTCAGGCAGCTGTAGACTTGGGTTCTATCGGTAGCCATGTTCTCTGCTACGACAGGTCCTTGAGAAGCAGAAGATGGTGTGGAGAGAGAGAAATGATTCAGACACTCAGAGGGAGGGGGGGAATTGAGAGAGAGGAAGAAAGAGAGCTTCCTGGTTTCCCCACAGCCTCCTGGCTGCAGGTTGTGCCTGCATTTCTGCTCTTAGGTTCTGAGAAACACCCCTGTAGGTGTATAACAAATTTCCCATTGGTGGCTTGAATAGGCTTTTATAACCTACAAACAAAAGAATCCTAATTGACATAAGAGTGGGATTTTCTTTGCAGGTATTTGATAAAAATTTCACACATTGGACACAAAATTTGACTATAAGCATACCACTAGTAATAGAGGTACCAATGCTTATATAAATTTAGAGCTGCAATGCTCTCAGGGGCCATCATTTTATGTGGAAACTGAGGCTCAGGAAGGCTAAATCCCTTGCCAAGGTCACATTTGTGACTGACTAGGTCTCTAAACTCTTGACTCCTAGATCATAGCTCTTTCCCTAATACCCACTAACTTTGATTGGAATATTTGCTTACTTTCACAACTTGTGCACTTGAAAAATAGGCCATGTACTCCTGTATACTCTCATCCCTATTGTTTTGGATGAAAAGCTGAAACTGGAAGATGTTAAATGACTTCACAAGGCTACATGTTAACAGAAGTAGAACTAGAAGTTTATTCCCAGGCAGGAGGCTCCATCCAGCAGGCCAGACTTCTCTGTCCACGCATCCAGGGCCCCGTCAATCTGGTTAGACCAGTAAATCCATCATGGCAGGGTTTTTAGGGTCATTCATCTACTCAACAAACATTTATTGAGTACTTACCATATTAAAGTGGTCACTGTCCCCAGGCCAGGAGATACAATGAGGAACAAATTCAGTGGATCAGCCTCCTGAGTATAGGTGAGCTTAAACAGCTTTAAACCTAGTGTATGTGTATTCGGAGTGGGGGTGGTGGCGCAGGGGGCGGTCATTGGACATTTGGCGTGTGTGGGTGGAGGTGAGATAAGATATACTACTAGAGCGAAAGCAGACAGCGGCTCTTGACAGCCTCACCGGAATACAGCATGGTGCCCAAAGCATAGTAAGATGAGTGAGGGAGTGAATAAGTGGCTGAATGAGAGAGACAAGCAGGTGAACAATTGGCTCCAAGGCAGTGGTTCCGAGAACAGAATGCTCAACTCTCAGTGCTCATTTCCTTGTCTGTCTTTCCCTCTGACTAGAAAGTGGGTTCTTTAGGGTGAAGTGGTTTCATTTGTTTATTTATTTTCTGCATTCCCAGCATACATCAGAGTGTGCTAGGGATCCAGACAAGGGAGCTTTTAGTTATGTTAAGAGGTTAGAACATAAGAAGAGAGCTTCCCCAGCGAGACGATTTTTAAGTGAGTCTTGGCAAGGTGAGATGGAACTTGGGTGCTGTCTGCCAGAAACAGACAATTGGATTTGACTGAGTCTAAGGAAGTCTTTGCTTTGACAGATAATACAACGTCCCTCTTCATGAAGTCATGTATCTGTGATTGTGGAAATAGAGGAATGTATCTGGGGGTGGGGACTGGACTTAAATCTGCTAGCCTAGGGAAGGGATATAAATGCAGACATGGGAAGAGGGAGGGCAGGATAGTGGGTCTCCATGGGTCCAATGTCCTCTGAAGGGAGGATTGTTTTGGACTTGCTGTGGTTTTGATTAAGAAATGCCACAGTCCCCCTGGGGTTAAAACTACAATAATTTTATTAGTAGTAATGCCATATATTATCAGGACTGCCTATCTCTGTGTCATGTCAGGAGTGAGATTTAAAATTTATTTCTTCAACAGGTTTATCTATCCTTTTAATAGATCATTCATTTGTCCATTTATTCATTTATTCAGTGTATCATTTATACATTTATCAGGTACCTCTGTGGCAATGGGGTAGGTTCTGGGAGACTCACACATGATTTTGCCATCAACAATTTACTAGCTTTGTGTGCAAAACTGTTAGGTTTTCTATCATTCTTGGCCCTAAGGATAACAAGTGGCCTTTGGAAATTAAAAGGTACAGAACAGACACTGGGCAGTTGCAGTGATAACTCACCTGCGGCAGGATTTGAACACCAATCTATTGGTCTGGACCACATTTCCAAGGTTACTAGGAGTCCTGAAAACCTCTGTATAATAAGGCAAGTTTTTCATTAATCTATTTTTATTATATGGTGCAGGAAATTGGTTGAAGCTGTCAAAAAAAAAAAAAAAAAAGATCACCGTTGAGAATATCTGCTACGGAGAAGAATGCTAGGACCACTCAGAGAGGTCACCCCAGGAAAGAGGAGGAATGTCCTTGTCACAGCCTGATGGGTGGTGTCTCCCCATTGATCTTTGGCAAGTTGTACTGGAAAGGGATGGTTAGAGTTCCAACGTGCAATATTCTATTTCCAATTAAAACGTAAAAACAAACCTTTTTCATAAAACCCATTGGCCTCAGCCCTGGGAAGTGACTACAAAGCCTGGTGCTGATTGAGAAAAGCTGAAAGCAGACACTGTAATTGATAAAGGAGATAAGTCAATCTGTGTCCTTTAAAGAATAATGAGTTCCATTTTTCATCAAAAAGATCTCCTTGTGCCGAAGAAACATTCTTTCAATAAATCTACTTAATGGTTTCCCCTCTAATGATATATAACATTGCGCTTTGGAACGAGCATCACAGCAGGTCCCTGCAAGGGGCCGCAGGCCGCCCATCATTTGCATTCCTAACTCAATCCAAGGAAAGCCCGGCCGGTTCCCAGGAAGTGCAGCAGTTCTGGGAAAATATCGGAAGGCCCTCCTGGGCCCTTCAGGCAGGTAGATGGGATGGAATTTTGAAGAAATATCCTATCCTCAACTAAACTTGAGATCTATGCAAATTTACATCCCCCTGCCCCCACCACCACTCTGGTGTCCTCAGGGATCGATCAGCTCTGAGGATGACTCGAGTCAGATAGCTCAAGAGTCAAATGCTTCAGATACGGGGGTTGTGAGCACTGATCAGCTTTGTTTGTTCCCTGAGCCCCTCACTCTCCCACAGCCTGCCAGCCTTGGTGTTGCTGGGACCGGGGGCTGTGGGAGGCGTCTGTGTTTATTGCATTTGGTAAAGTGATCCACCTTAAAGATCCCGCCTGAAGTAGTGCTACCCAAAGGCCTGTCCGCACCCCCCCTCAGGGCCAAGCCTCAGGTGGTAACGGCCTTGGGGAAGAGAGGGCCTGTCCCCTTTTAAGGGAAGGATTTAGGGCCCTTGTGCTGGGCAGCAGGCCTTACTGCTCAACTCGGCTTACCTTTGTAAAGCCCAACTTCACAAATGTGCTGTTATTTCCACAAGGACGCAGCTTTATGTAACAAAACCTATTTCCTCCAAGGGCACCCAGCCCTCCCAGTGCTGGCGGACTTCCCCACGTGGTAATCATTAAAAACAACCCTGGAGTTATTTCTTTATGTTGCTGTTTGTTTACTCTCCAGTCGCGTGTGAGTCAGCCAGATCATGATTTGTGGTGGTTTTGCTTATGAAATCTTACATAATTATATTCCTATTGTCACGTCGAGTAGTTAGACCATCTACTGTTTTCTCATTGCACAACGTTGGCAAATCAATAAGGAGAAAGCCGGAACAATGAGCTGACGTGGGCTGGTCAGGAACCCGTCTCCGAGTCACCGGGGAGGCGGCTCTGCAGTTTCAAAGATACGGCCGGTGGCACAGGGAGCCTGGATGGTCTCTAATGCCACCGCTGTGTGGGATGACTGGCTGGGTAGTGGCCTTTGGGATGAGGTGATATTTAAGAGATGAGAGCAAGAGAACGAAAAGAACAATAATAACAACACTTCACACAGAAAGCAACCAAATTTTTACTGCATTTGCTACACGCTGGATTCCAACATGCTGGTCCAGAGCGTGGCTGGAGAAAAGCTGGCAAGGCTCTCCCGGCTCCTCCAACAGGCTTTCCCTTCCCCGCCATGTACAGTATGTATTTTGACCCTACTCACTGTCCCAAGTCCAGAGGCAGTTACTGAAAACACTCTTGATGCGACAGTGAGTGGCTACAACACACGGATGGGGTGGGTGTGATTTCCACAACAGACCGTGGAACGCAGAGAAATGGTGTGTAGAGAGAGGCAAGACGCCTTCTTAGTGGCTAATAGCATTATGGAGATCAAAACCCACAAGTGGTTTTTGTTTTTGTCTTTTAATTCCTGGAGTACACTGAAACTAGTTGTGCCTAACATTATTTCATCTTTTTAATCAAATATCTGACCTGATGTAAACCATGTTTGTTTGCATATGTCTTTGAGTAGTGCGCCTTAAAGTTATTCATATTGATACAGGATGAAGATTACAAATATCTGCATAAAAAGAGACACTGTGTGACTCTATATGAAGACAACAACCATCACATTCCACAGCACGTCAGTGGTTAAGTTTTGAATCGTCAAGCATTATTTAAAACGAGAGAGAGAGAGAATATAACTGAACACAAGTGCCACGACAAAACAATCATAACAGAACCAAACCCAATTTCTCTATTAATCATTTAAAAATTTTACCTCTGTTTCTAACACTTTTCCTTAATTGTTATTTTAAGCGCCAGTAGCAGGATCAGATTTCCGCTGCCTCTGGGCAAATGAGTTATGATCTGATCTCGAGTTCCAAGGGAAACGCTCAAAGTTTTAGTTTTCCCCGGTTGAACAAACAGTACTATGTATATTATCTCTTGTGTTAGAATAGTGTTGTCTTCACATAAGACTCAAATAATGGTATTAGTCATTCATTTCCTTGAACACAGACACCCTCATGCGTGCTGACAGGTTTATAAGGATGCGGTGGCAGCCCTGGTTCTGGGAGCTGCTAGATGACCGGCTTTGATTTCTTGCAGTCCTGAGCGATGGGGCCCGGGTGTGTCTGGTTATTGTCCGCTTTCTCTCCCAGATGCTGGGCTTGTCTGGAAGATTAATACATTAACAAGAGCTGAAGGTCCAGGGTTGCACGTCTTCAGACATGTTTATTAGCAGATGGCACACAGGATTCAAAGGTCACCACAAAAGTGACATTTTAAAGTGAAACAACAATATTTATGTTCAGATAGTCTACTGATGAGATCATGTGGAAATGTTTTTGATTAAATTAGCTTATAAATGGTTGCCAATCTATAGACAACTTAAAATGCCACGTCTGTTTACCAAATGTTTTCTACTCACACTCTCACCTTTTAAATATTAATGGACCAAATGCTGTTTTTGATGTATGCTCATTTAACTGTAGGATCAGCAGACCTGGTTCTTACTTTCTGGGTTATCTATTTTTTTCATTCTAAAAATATTATCATCTCCTGTGTGTGTTCTGAAATCTCACTTGCTATTATTACTGCTTTGAAAGAGTTTGGATTCCACTCCATAAATACGATTGCTTTCCATTTCTTTAGTATAAATTAGGTCTCTGGAGAGACGGAGAATTGTCTCTCAGATAAAACCTTATGTTGAATATCATAAAAAAGCTCTGAGCTGGATTTCAGAAATACTTATGATAGCTGCCTTTTTGCCTTTGCAGCCCTTGGGGGCCACACTTTTGTGGCAACGTGTGCTGTGTTTCACGTAACAATGTGAAAACCAAAATCCAGCCAACAGGAGGGAATGCCTCCTCTCGACTTCTCTTTCTTTTCTCTCTGTTGTGCCCACAGCTTGGCAGAAACGTGAGTGAAAATTTTTACCTCAGAAAATGGTTAAGCCAGAGAATGTTCAACAGTATGAAGTGGAAAATGATCTTTTGTGAGTTTTGCAAGTGTCTCTAGTCAACAAAACTCAGATAAATATTTCCAACAAAGGCATTAAAATGAAGAAATAATTATTTAATAGGTTAAAGCTTTCACAGACATATTCTAGGAAATGAATATGACCATATATACTGTTTATTTATATACTCATTTATTTACATCTAATTGTATTATGAATAATTTTGTAAGATATAAATATTATTACCTTGAGTTTTTTATCTTATCTATAATTTTTTGGACAATTACAAAATGACAAATGTAAGAATACGACAGAAGATTTACTCACTTTTCAAGAGAACCTTTTTCAATATTCATTGCCCCTTCCATTGGATCCAGTCCTTGTTCAGAAAATTGTTTCAAGGCACTTAAAGCTGCCTAAAAATGAAAACAAACAAACAAACAAGGAGACCCATTCACTGACTTTAATGTGATAAACAGGTAATTGTAAAAGAAAGCTGAGATATATAGTAAAAACTATCATTTTCATTAATCTAAATAAATATTTTTCCATCATTTAGCAAAATTACATTTGAAAGGCTATATTATCGTGCAGCAATACATATACTATGAGGGCTTTATTTGTGTGGTGGTGGGGGGAGGTGGAGATAGGAATCTCCACCAGTCTCATGCCTTATCCATAATTTTGTAAAATCACAATGTTTTATCTGCAAATGGAGGGACACACTGAAGAAAGAACGTACAAGCCCATCATACTTTGATGATGACTTTGCATAATTCCTCCTCACATTACTGAAACTACACATTCTCTTCCTTCAGACGTGAGAACATCAGCTTTTTCCAAATTGGGTAGTCTTTCCCAAGTTAGCATAAAAGCATTGTTCAATTTTACAGACATTTAGCCCTAACCAAGTCCCAGAATGTGAGCAGAGGAATGGACCCAAGACACTCGTGCATACCGAGGGGATGGGATGATGGTATTCCGTGAGGAGAGAAAATTCACGCTCCTTGGGGCCCTGGGGAGGCAGGCCTGGCCGGGCAGAGCCTCCAGAGGTGTTGATATGCCCGTGATGCGTGGGAGGCTGAAGGGTGTTGACAGGCTGGCGGAGCCTCGCTGGATAGCTGGGAGGCACCAAAAATGCGATGCTGATAAGATCTACATAACTTGTTGACACTCTTGTGCACGTTCCAAATTGTTATTTCTTTGACTAAGAATTTGGTTCTTCTTCCCCTCCCCCACGCCCCACCACTTTTAAGCTCAGTTAGAAGGGCTTTGTTGAGTCTGAGATAGGTGCAAGCAGCCGCTGTTGTTTGAATCTTGGAGATCCCGCTGGGTCACAATTTGGTCATCTGTATCTTCTCAACTGCCTTTGAAAAAGAGCTAACTAACTCTTGGCAGTTTCCAAAACTTTCATCTGCCAAGGGCCCCTTTTAGCTGAGTACATGATCTCTTTTAAATTTCCTTATTTGTAATGTATTATTTGGTTTTGACTTTTAAGTTAATAGACTTCATTTTTTTAGGGCAGTTTTAGGTTTACAGAAAAATGGAGCAGGTAGTTCGGAGTTCCTATATACCCTCTCCCTCCACCCCCAGCATCGTTTCCCCTATTATTAACATCCTGCATTAGTGTGATACATTTTTTACAACTGATGAGCCAACATTGATACATTATCATTAACTATAGTCCATGGTGTACATTAGGGTTCACTCTTCGTGTTGTACATTCTATGGGTTTTGAAAAATGCATCATGTCTTGTGTCTACCACTACAGTATCGTACAGAATAGTTTCACTCCCCTAAAAATTTCCTGTGCTTCACCCTTCATCCCTCCTCCCTATCCCCCCAAACCCCTGGCAACCACGGAACTTTTTACCATCTCTATAGTTTTGCTTTTCCCAGAATGTCATATAGTTGGAATCATACAGTATGTAGTCTTTTCAGATTGATTTCTTTCATTTAGCAATGTTCACTGAAGGTTCCTCCATGTCTTTTCAGGGCTTGATAGCTCATCTCTTTTTATCGCTGAATACTATTCCATTGTATGGATGTACCATAGTTTGTTTATCCAGTCACCTATTGAGGGACATCTTGGTTGCTACCAATTTTATTACGAATAAAGCTGCTGTAAACATCCGTGTGCAGATTTTGTGTAATATTTTTTCTCTCTTCTCTTTTGGTCTTTCTGTTTTTTAAATCACAACTCCTATATTCAACCAAAAGTAACAATATGTCCTTTTCTTTTTCTTCAGACTACTCATTCCTTGTAGATCTCTAACCCAGTCTGTCTAGTTCAGATGTGCTAATCTGAATGCTCACCTGTATCTGCAGCCCTGGCCTGGGCAGGCTGGGGCAGGGAGGAGGCCACGCTCAGGCTCTCCGTTTTCACCATTATCTCTTTGAACCTGGAATCCCACAGAGATGTCGGCGTCCTGCCCCACTACTCCTGATCTTGGTCCATGCTCATACTCTACAGCAGCTGGCACAGGTTCTGGTGGCAGGGAAGTGCCAACCTCAGTTGGGTAGGAGCAGTGTGGCTATCTCAATGGGGTACTGTTATTGATTGAATTGTGGCCTCTGCCAATTCATATGTTGAGGTCCTAACCCCCAATACCTCTGAATGTGGCCTTATTTGGAAACAGGGTCATTGCAGATGTAATTAAGATGAAGTCATACTAGAGTGGGGTGGGCCCTGATCCAATATGACCAATGTCCTTACAAAAAGGGGAAATTTGGACACAGACACACACACAGGGAGGACACCATGTGAAGAGGAAGGCAGAGATTGGGGTGATGCAACAGAAGCCAGGAAACACCAAAGATTGCCAGCAAACCACCAGAAGCTAGGAGAGAGACATAGAACAGATTTTCCCTCACAGCCCTCAGAAGGAACCAGCCCTGCCAAACCCTTGATCTTGGACTTCTAGCCTCCAGACCTGTGGGACAATAAATTACTATTGATTAAGCCACTCAGTTTGTGGTACTTTGTTGTGGCAACTCTAACGAACGAACACAGGTACATCATAATTCTTCTTTAAGGAGAGTAGAATCTCTTTCTCCTCTCTTGGACATTTCCTTTTATTATCTTTTTTTATAAAAATAGTTTTTTGTTCCAGAAAAATCACATGTAGACAAATAGAAAGAAAATGATAATACTCACAATCCCACCCACCATTCACAACTCAGTGTATGCCTTTCCATATCCTTTTCTATCCCCTCCCCATAGGCACATACTTTAGCCTGGATCAGGTCTTAACCCTGCTTTATAACCTGCTCTTTTCATGGAACGTGAGCAGTCTCCGTATCAACAGGAACATTTCAGTAGCATCATTTTGCACAACTGCTCAGCATCCCAATAACTTTATGTGCCCTCCTGTATTTAGCCAATCCCTACTGTTGGACATTTAGGTCACTCTCAATTTTTAAGCTGTTATTAACACTGCACCAAGCTTTCTGGCAGTGTTCCATGTCAATAATGTCCTTATGATAAATTCCTAGAAACTGAATTTCTGGGCCAAAGACCACGCACATTTTTAAAGATCTGCTATGAGCTTTCTGTCTACCCTCAGAGAGGTTGTGCCCACACTAGCAGTGTGAGGACCGCCTGTTTCTCTAGGTGCTTTTGGAATTACCTCTCAGAACCATGTTGTGGGTCATCTGAGCAAGGCAGTTTTGTCACTTTGTGGGCCCACCTTATTTTTTACTTGGGCATCCTGACCATTTACTTTATTCACTCGATTTGGCTTTGAGAGATGTTTGGTTGCTTTCAAAAATTAAATTCGGGGGCCTGGTAGTATAGTGGTTAAGTTCACACACTCTGCTTCGGCAGCCCAGGGTTTGTGGGTTCTGATCCTGGGCCCAGACTGTCACACCACTTGTCAAGCCATGCTGTGGCAGCGTCCCACATAAAGTGGAGGAGGATGGGCACAGATGTTAGCCCAGGGCCAGTCTTCCTCAGCAAAAAGAGGAGGACTGGCAACAGACGATAGCTCAGGGCTAATCTTCCTCACCAAAAAAAAACACATTAAATTCACTCCCAAAAGACCTAGAATCTCAAAAGACAATTCTCCTCCCCCGAAAAAGAAATTCACAGAGGGATTTGACTCTCATTTAGACTCAATTATGTGATCTCTGAGGCCAAGTCCTGACTTGCTGAAGTGGCTTGACAGCTTTCCCAGGCGACTACGCTGAGAACAGTCCTGTGGGTTTGTACGTTCCTGTGGGCTTGTCACGTGCACCTGAGCCCTGGAGTCCACCTCATGTGTGTGTGTGCGGAGCGAAGAGCCAGGGCCCCTCACTGCTAAGCTCTAAAGACCAATCCATGCCTGACCTTTCCAGATAGCCCAACGTCATGGGGCGGTGGGGGGCTAATGAACTTAAGAGTTCTTTGTATAGTCAACAAGTTTGACCACATGAACAACTATTTTGTTCTCACCATTAATTATTGGCAGGAATGCCAATTTTTATCAATTTCTTCCCAAATGGACTATTACAGAGGGCCATTCCGAAGTTTAAATTTGCAGTGTGTTGCTGCTAAATGAGACTCCTGAGGCCTCCTGAGCTTCTTGGTCCTGTTTTATTCCCAACAAGGCCAAATGACAACCAAAAACGAATTGTTTAAGAACTTCAAAAAATCATGTATAGGCTAATTGTAACCCGTTTTCACAACAAACATAACTCATTTTATTGCACTTTGCTTTATTGCGCTTCGCAGATATTGTGTTTTTAACAAATTGAAGGTTTGTGGCAACCCTGTGTCGAGCAAGTCTACTAAGCGCCATTTTTCAAATAGCATTTGTTCACTTTGTGTCTCTGTATCACATTTTGGTAATTCTTGCAATATTTCAAACTTTTTCCTTATTATTATATTTGTTACGGTGATCTATGATCAGTGATCTTGGATGATACTGTTGTAATTGTTGTGGGGTGCCATGAACAGCACCCATATAAGACAGTAAACTTAATTGATGAACGTGTGTGTTCTGATTGCCCCACCGCCCGGCCATTCTCCTGTCTCTCTCCTTCTCCTCGGGTCTCCTATTCGCTCAGTCACAACGATATTGAAATTAGGCCAATTAATATCCCTATAATGGCCACCAAGTGTTCAAGTGAAAGGAAGAGTTGCACACCTCTCACTTTAAATCAAAAGCTAGAAATGTTTAAGCTTAGTGAGGAAGGCACGTCAGAAGCCGAGATAGGCTGAAGGCTAGGCCTCTTGTGCCAAACGATTAGCCAGGTTGTGAACGCAAAGAAAAAATTCTTGAAGGAAATTAAAAGTGCTACTCCAGCGAACACATACATGATAATAAAGCAAAACAGCCTTAGTGCTGATATGGAGAAGGTTTTAGTGGTCTGGATAGAGGATGAAAGCAGCCACCACATTCCCTTAAGACAAAGCCTAATGCAGAGCAAGGCCCTA